ACCAAAAAAGTCAGAACTAGGATTAGAGCTTGAGATTCCCTGATTTCTTTCAGTGAATTACCTTGAGCTGTCATTTTGTGAATTGAAAACATAATAAGCATGAGGCATAGGCGTTTTCAGGAGAGGAAACTTAACCAAAACAAAAACTGACTGTTTGATTGCATTAGAGTTTTAAATGCTGCCTCCAATCTTCTTTGCTCTTAGCTGTCATTTAGTACCAGTGATGGGAGAAAAAGCAGAGAAAGCCAGGAGGTTTCTGTAGACCTCAGTATCACTGTGGCCTTCAATGCTGAGAAGCTCATTTTTGGGGCTGGGACCAGATTACAAGTCTTGTCAAGTAAGTGCTAGAAGCCAAGAAGTAATTTTTAAAAGGCATTTTCTGTAAAACCCGATTTGGTACATTCTCACAGCGCCACTACCCTTCGCAAACCTGCTCTGTAGGGGCCTCCATGCCTCCAGCTGCTGGGTCTGTGGCCACTCAGGACGCCAGTTCTCACAGTTACAACCCTCTATATAACAAATCAGTTTAATCTATAGATGAACACCATGCTGCTGACCAAAGGCTTAACCAGCAATGGAAAAAAAAAAAAGGACATGAGGGAGTCACATATGCTATGACCCAGGCAAATGATCTGGTTTTCTCTTTTACATTTTTCTTTAAAATACTGGGAAAGGTAAAGCAAGTTCAATTTCTCCAATTTGAAAACTGTTTATGAATTATGCTTCCCTCATATGCAGGGAGACCTAGATTGACTTTGAATGTTTAGTCATTTGATTTCACTGTCTCTGCCTGGAATCTATAATGGGCAAGGGAATCAAATGTAATTAAATGAGCAAATAATCTTCAATGGTCAATATTCCTACATTGTTTTATGTGATTTGCTCTGGAGTTTTTAATCTGGGCTTTATCTCTAATAGGCTCCCCTGAAGGGCAGTGAAGGTTTTTGTTAAGGTTTTTGTGTCTGTGTAGATAGCAACTATCAAATGATCTGGGGCTCTGGGACCAAACTAATTATAAAGCCAGGTAAGTCTCAGATATGTGACAGTCAGGGAGAGGAGACTCTAGCTGAATAATACACAAAGTGTAGCATGTAAATTATATTTTTAAGAATAATCCAGCCCGCTAGAGACAATGCCCTCAACCCAAATGGGGTCTTCGCTCCCAGTGAGAGACAATGTCAGCCACCAATTCTTGTTTGGTCTAGTTGCTTCCAGAAAAGATAATGCTTAACTAGACCCCTTAAAATAGAGCTGAATTGTTAGGGAGGTTTTTTATTCCCTCTAATATGGTTAGAATTCTTTCCCAAGGATGAGCCAGCCTATTCCATTGGGAGAATACGTTTAAGGAAAAGGGAAAAGGATAGTTAAAGAGCTGTAGGTGAAAAGTAGTGTGTCTGCAGCTTTCCCAACATCCTTGCTTTGGGCTGCTATCTTGTAAGGAGAGCAGATGCCTGCACAGCTCTTGGCTGCTTGCTAGTGGATCACCCAGGGTTCTGGACTTTAGCGCAACCCCATAAAAACATAACCTAGAAGACAATGTCAGAGCAAGTCAGGGGAGTATGAGGCTATCTGGAGAGGTGACTTTTGCAGCAGTGGGACTGAGCTTTCTAAGGCAGGATAGACACAAAGAGGTCCTCACCTTCTCCTGTCATGCCCCTCCCTGAAGGTAATTGTAAGGCTCTGAAGGGCTGTGGGAATTATGGGACTGGTGCAAACAAGCTCATCTTTGGGACTGGTACTCTGCTTTCTGTCAAGCCAAGTATGTGAGTAGTGGGATTTGTCAGGCAGATTCTGTGTTCCATGGCAAGTGGGAAGTAGCAGGTGATGGCTGCTCTCCAGTAACAGAGGGCTGACAGTCATTTTTGTTCCCTAGTGTCATCCTTTATCTGCCACAATATGCTGGACTCTCAAAATTTCCCATTCTCTTAGATGGCACACCAGTGAGGGAAGAGGAAACAGTGCTGATTTTAAGATAAACTCTAGGGAGAAAAAAATATATAGTGGGTAAAAGTGTTATCGTCTAAATGCTGCAGGCTTTCTCCTTCTGAGAATCCTATTTTCCAGCCATTTGTCTGCTCTGATTATACCTTTACCTGTATAGATACAACTTCTGCTAATCTGTTTATACAGTTCTGTGTCAGCCGATCAAAACATCCTTATTTTGTAGGCCATATCTTATTTTTCTTCCAAAACATAATACATGAAGTACAAGACCCCGGAGGCATCCTTGGGAAGATGGTTTGGGGTGAGAGAGGAGAAATAGAGCTTAGGGTAGGCTAGGTTGGTATTAGTCTGTGATCCATCTAATATCTTCCCTCTATTTCCTACATTTGCTACCCTTTCATTTCCCCAGAATAAGTCCTTTTTATTTGTTCTGGACACCTGCTGCTCTCAGACTGAGAGGAGAAAAATAAAATTAGTTTTAAACTCTTAAAATCTAAGAATCAACATCATAGTCACATTGGGGATGAAATCAAGTCTCCTCCACCCCTAAAGCTCTACTTTTAACCAAGAAAGTCAGTGCCCTCCTATCCCCGTCTAGAATGCTCGCTTCCCTCTTTAACATAATTTCTTAGTTTATATTAGCCAATGCTCTACTTTGAGATAAAGGAGCTCCTGTAGTCCCTAATCCTTGCTTACAGTATACAATCTTTTTTTTAAAGGAAAATGTTCATTGTTTCCATTTATTTCAGGACTGGGCCTTCTTAAGTTTGTGGAAGATGATGTATCCTTACTCCCTACCCGTTTCTTCCTGAAGTAACATGAGTCCATGATGGAACATCTTTGGGAAAACATTTTCTGGGCTATTATATATCCATTGTTACACACTGAGAAGACTCAAAAAAAGTTAGCCACTGAGTAGGGGACCAGACCGTGGAGCTTAGGTAGAGTTTGGAGGGGAGTTTCAATGGTTCCATGGCTGCAAAACACCCCTATGGTTGCAGGAAACATCATCTCTTCAGACCTGTGTGTCTAAAGCTCAGTTTCCACCTACAAGAGAAAGGGTTGTTAACAAATTACTTGATGCAGCTTTGGCAGATTTAAGCCTAGGAATGCATAATGGTTTTTAAAGCTTGTAAGTTTGGTCATTTTAAAGGAAAAAATGTTTTGCTTTATGTAGCAGAACCAGTTTTCTTCTGCGTATGATAAAAGGCCAATTTCCAGAGACAAAGAAGAAAAAAATCCCACAGAGAATTCAACTCCCGCATCATCATGGTACCATGTGTTTGGCTGAGTTTTACTAGGGGTTTAAGTAAAGGCAGGAAATGCTGTGGGAATAACAACAACAGGTTCTTCTTTGGAGATGGAACCCAGCTGGTGGTGAAGCCCAGTAAGTGTCCATGTCCTATTTATATTTGACAAACAAATAAATTCCGTGAAGTTAGTAGAGATTTAATTTAATATGTAAACAGATATAACTTTTGAAAAATGACTTTTGCAAGTACATGAAACATTCATGATTGTTGAGAATAGAGCAATAATAATAAATAGATGCAAAATGAGACCATTCCAAATCCCCTTTAATATGGTAGCTTGGTTCTCCTTCTTCCAAGGAGATATTGAGACCGTGAGTTATTTACAGCCACAGTATCTCTTAAACTGTATTCCACAATGATTTGTGTGTTTACTGTGATTTTGCCTGCAGAACTTGTCTTCTATTAAAAATGAGAATCTATCTCATTTTAAATGCTACTAATATTTATAAGGCACCCTCTTTGTCTCTCATGCCTATACATATATTTATTCTAAAAGATCCACTAGGAAACCCAAGTATTCTGTTTTGACAAATGGCCCCATCTAGTCTCATACATGTCAAATTTCACTATAAATGCAGCTTTACTATTCAAATGCAACGGGGGGGGGGGGGCAATTCAGAAATGAATTGATGATCCCAGATGGCTTTATAAACACCTGAAAGGAAATTCATAGTGAAATAAAATGGCAGGCATGACAAGATTTATATTTAATGATCAATGCCTCCATGGGGAGTAAAAACTTTTTAAATGCACCTAATTGGTGAAGAAGGGAAAACATAATTCAGGAGCCTAGCTGTCCTGAAAAGAGGTGGTTTTAGGGATCAGTTTCTCCACATTGCCAGTTTGGAGACAATGGGGCCCATCCTCAGGTCAGACAAAATAATAATAATAGTGATAGTAATATTAAAAAGCAGCTGTTGTCAAGTTGACTAACTGGGTTATTAGGCCCAATAACATGTTATAATTGAGACTTTGGGATGAGCAACCAATGGAGTTTTAAAATAAGATGGCCTATTTTTTAATAGTTTAGAGAAATTCTAGAAGACAAGGAAATGAGCTAGTTGGCTACATTAAGTTTGTTTTAGATTCAGTGAGCATAACCATCCCTTTCCATCTTTTCCAATGACTGTGATACGGAGCATCTTTGGGGTCAGATGGATGATAAGAAGACAGTTGGGCTTGCTTGGTTCTTTGTCAAACAAGGACCCATCAAGGTTGATGCTACCTCTTGGGATGAGAGAATATACCCATGGAGAACATTTCCCCAAAGACCAGGATCCCTCTGAGCCAAAATGAATGATCTCCATGCCCTCAGCCAGGGAAGGGCTATCATGAGTGGGACAAACATTTGCTTGACCTGAGGCAGAGCATCCTCAGATCTTGTGATATAGCTGGTTCCAGAGCTTATGGTTCAGAGCTGAGCGTGAAGTAAAGACTCCACAGTGCAGTTCTGGCTCAGATGGAAATCCAGCTGTATATCTATAAAGCTGCCCATTCCTGCCCCTACCCTCCTCTGGACTCTGAAGGGTAGATTACTAGTTCAGTGGCTGTCTGCCAGATATTTTTTGGCTACAGTAACAGAACTGTGTTTGAAATCTGAAAGGGGTTTGTTGAATTGTTGCTTTTATAATTTACTCTCAGTGTCAAATGAGGTCATTCAATTTCCTTTCTGTGCATTTGCAATAAACAGCATAAAATTCAAGCAAAACAACCAGGAGACACAGAGAAAGATGGCAGGACAGATAATGAGGCCAGTTTATTATGAGAGAAGAGACAATCTGGGAACCTGTTTAGTCTCATGAAGGTGAAATATTCATCAATGAATATGTAGCTTTCTCAAAAAAGAATCTCTAGGAGTTTTTGCTATGGTCCCAGTCACGGTGTAAATCAAATTCTAACAAAATCATCTTTGGAAAAGGCACACGACTTAATGTTCTCCCCAGTAAGTTGTTTTCATGTGATTTTCTGATGTTGATGTCCATTGAGTTGAAAGTGTTTTCAGCCATGGGTGAGCAAGTTTCTTAGGCTGTCAGAACATGGGTGGCCTCAAGGCCGGGACCCTTCCACAGCTTAGCCAAATAATACCCCCCCCCCAATGCTGGGAAAGTTGCTGCAGGCTTCTGCTACCCAAATATCAATTATATTTTTCATTGTTTATTTATCATGAAGTATAAAATATTATGGAATTTTAGAATTCATTTTCAAGTCTTCCCTCTAGGCTGTCCCCACTGGAATTTGTTCAGAGACATATTGTTAAACTCAGTGTGATTTTTGGCTCCAATTAAAATCTTGGGGTGGGTTTTTTATATCACCCCAGCAATCCCTCTCCTTCCACTTTTCACAAAATACCTACATCTCTGGTCGACCTTTGCTGAGGTTCCTGGCTCTGATGCCCATGCATTTTCACTTTCCTTGTTCCAGGGATAGGCAAGAGATAAATTCTTTAAGAGGTACTTTATATCAGGAACAAAAAAATGGAATCCTGGCCAAGTGTAACTTCTTGCATTGAGCTGTCTCATTCTGTGCCATTTTCCAAATCATTTTCTTCCTTTGGGAGAAGAGGCCCCGCCTTTCTATGTCTACATTTAAATATAGCAAAGAGTTCACCATGAGGCCAGAATCAGAGATTTCTTTTGAAATATTTTTCATAAGGTGACAATAAGCTGCAAGTTTGAAAGGTGTTCAGAAATACATTCTTGGGCCATAACTCCATGTATGGAAGCTCCTGTGATCAGGGTAGACAGGCAAAACCAGAGGTATTTTGATTGTATCACACTCTGTAGGATTAGAGAGAAGAAGGTCAAGAATTGCTTTTTGAAAGAAAAAGAAAAAAGAAAAGTATAGTTAAGTGGGAAGAGTCCTGAGTGATTCTACCAAGAAGAAGAATTAATTGGAGGAAAGGTCCAAGAAAAACATCAGGGCCCAGTACTCATGGTTTTTGTTATGGAGACAATCACTGTGGAAATTCAGGAAACAGGCCACTTGTCTTTGGAAAAGGCACAGGACTTTCCGTGATTGCAAGTAAGTGTTCCTGGCCATCCCGAATTTTGATGAGCAAGGGCTTCTTTCTTTAAATGATTTTCCAGTGAACCTAAGAATGTTTTTGCCCCCCAAGAAAAGTCTGTTAGGGGCTGGGATGCAGCTCAGTGGCAGAACATGTGTTTAGCGTACACAAGGCCCTGAGTTCTATTCCCAGCACCACAAAACAGGCCTAATAGGAAACAAGCCATTGGTGTTGAGCAGGAAGATGAGCTGGTTACTCTGCTATGAATGAAAAGCCAATCCAACACGCACAGGCAAGCACAGAACTGGGTCCTACTCTGCACTCTGGCCTCAGCACGACCAGCTAGTTCTGACCACCCATCCTGGCCCAGTTCCCTCCTCTGATCCCAGAGGCCAGTCTGAGCACAGAGAACTTGAGACTCCTTAGCTCGGGGAGCACAAAGAGGTTCTTCTGAGGGCCAAGGGCCATTTTAAAATACACTGTGTGTCTCTACTTAATGTTATCATTAATTTTAATTTACCTAAGTAAGACTAAGAATTTCTCATTGTAAACCATTCCAATTGCAGATTAAAGCAACAGGCACCTTGATGCTTCCTTCAATGTCCATTTCCTTCCCCAGAAGTGAGACCAGTTGGGTGTATTGTGAGGTGTTCCTTTATGGAGTATGTTCATGTGAAATCGCCTATCTTCAAGTGGGGAAATTTAAGGGGTATAAGGCTCCAATTGTAGTCTGCAAGTCTGCAGGATTTCAAATATAGGTTAAAGATTTCTTACTCCACATGCTTAAAACTAGAAATGTTTCATATTTTAGAGTTTTTCAGATTTTGCAAAATTTACATTCACATGAGATATCTAGGGGGGTGGAAGCCAAGTATAAACATAAAGTTCATTGTTTCATATACACCTTACATATGTAAGGTCATTTTATACAAATTTTTAGTGCACTTGGATTTTGACTGAGTCCTGTTGCATGAGGTCAGGTGTGGAATTTTTCTCTGGTGGCATCATATCAAAAAATTTCAAACATTTTTGGATTTTGGAACATTTCAGATTTCAGTTTGGGCATTAGGGATGTTCAACCTGTATGTAAGAAAGAGTTGCTTGAATGTTGAGGTTGTTGCCAAAGGAATGCATTAAAAATCAGGAGCTCTTAAAAGCTGGACAGGTCTTTGGTCAGAAAACACCTTGGCTGAACACAGGAGGATGGAGCAGCTGCCTCCTAAGCCCCGTGGGTCTGTGTGGGATTCCGAGGGCTGGTCTCTTTCATGACAAACCTCTGGAATGCGCTTCTTTTCTGCCTACTGTCCAGTTGTTGTTTCATCTGAACTTGTGTCAGAGCTGTGTTCTATGCTGTGAGTGGTTTGATTTTGTCAGCATCTGTGGGGTTTTCGCAAAGAAAAGAAACTGTGTGTGTACTCTGGGACCGTGGGTTACCAACTCGCTTTCGGGAAGGGTACCAAGCTCTCAGTCACACCAAGTAAGTTTCTCTTTCTGCTAATTATTTTTCCCAAGAAGCCCATCATGCAGGAGCTGTCAAAACACAGGTGGTGTTTTCTTTGCTTGGTTTGTGTTGGGTGGTTCTTGATACCGGTTGGAAAACAAAGTTATTAATGCATATATCCCCTGGGGATTGGTACTTGGGCTTTTCATATCCATGTAGTCTCTCCTTGAGAACATATGAGAGCCCCCATGAGGAGGAAGACCCGGGGAAAAGGGGTGGGGGTACCGCTGTAGACAAAAGGCCTGCAGGAATAACAAACAAAACTGGGTCCCAGGAGACTCGCAGTAGCCACTCAGTATGAGCCACTCAGTATGAGCCACTCCTCCTCCCTGGAGGGGCTCCTGCCAAGACCTTCTTTCAAGGAAAATTGCAGCAAATAGAATTGGGCTTGGAAGTTGCTGGTTATTAGTATTCCTCCCACGTTCTAACCTAATTACAAGGAGATTGTTTTGGCCATGGGCAGTCATTTCGGGTTTTGTTTTCCTGTGTGCCTCCCCCACCTCCACCTGTCTTCCTAGAGGCCCCAGTCAAGGTTATTGCAATAGCGCGGAGCACGGTGTAGCACCAATGCAGCCAAATTAACCTTTGGGGATGGGACCACGCTCACTGTGAAGCCAAGTAAGTTGTGTTCTTTGCCTGGGCCTTTAGGGGCAATCAATCAAATCATTAGTTTGAGAAATACTTTAATCCTGTGCATCTGCTGGGCCCTTTATTAATGTTCTTTTCCCCAGGCCGAAGAGAGCTTGTTCTCTTCCCTGCTTTAAAATGAGCTGTGCGCGCATGTGCACACGCTTTCTCTTACTCTGGCTCACAGTGTGGGGCTCTCAAGAGCATAGACAACATTTTTAAAGAAGTCGAGATATAAACAAAAATTGCGCCAATGAGGATGTCAGGGGGACCTCCGGGGAACATGATACCCCACCACCCCTGGCCGACAGCTCCTTAGCCACATGGGATGTGCTCTGGTTCTCTGAGATGGTGAAGAGCAGGAAGCCCCTCAGCTTTTCTCGGTAATCAATTCCAAAATGTAGCAACCCTTGCTGCCAGAAAGTATTTTCTCCCATCCAACTTTAATCCTCTGCTACAATTTAAATCTCTGTTTGGAAAGAACCACTAAAACTCTGCACATCTGGATAGAGAATATAATACCTGCCATGGAATGTAAGATTCAGTACTGAGTCTATTCTGGACCACCTCTGAGATGCCATGTGTTCCCTCTGAACATTTCAAACCCAAATAATTAGAATTTTGCAGTGTAGCGTGAGCTCTGGAGACGTGCAAACGTGAGTTTAGATCCCTGTTTCGCTACTTAACCAGCTGTGTGACTTAGGAAAGTTACTTAACCTCTCTGAGTACCAGTTTCCCTATCCCTAAAATGATGATAAAAATATACCTACTGTGCTGAGTTATTGTAAGGATCAAATGAAATAATATAGCTAAAATATTTAGCATAATTCCCAGAACATAGGAAAGTTCATTAAGCCCCAGCTATTAATAATTATGATAAAAGTTGTCTCTAATGCATAGTAAAGCTTTTGCTTCACCCCATGGGCACTTCTGTCAAAGCTCTGTCATCCGTCAGGAACACAGCTGGAATGGAGGCAGAGTGGAAAATGTCAACCTGTTCTATGATATTCTTCACCTGGGGTTTAAAAGTGGAAATAGAAAGAATCCTGACTAACTTAAATACAAAACCATGCAAGTGTCAGAGACAGAGGAGAGGTTTCTGCAGAGAGCTGCACAGCTGGGGCTCTGTGGTCTACACACAAGCGCGTGCAGCAGGTTCATGGCTCACAGGCCCAAGGGGCAGGGGCCTCAATACCCCGTCACCACAGTGACCTCAGTGTGAATTCCCCCAAGGTGTCCTGAGTTCCTTCCTGAGAGATGGGTGCCCCCTCCCCCTATGGAGGTACAGTGACAGAAAGAAGTTGGATGCTGCATGGTCAAGGGCAGTCTGTCCCAAATTGTACTTACTCTTCAAGGTAGTGAAGCTCACGAGAAACTGGCTTGTGAAATTTCCATTAAACGCCCAAAGCTGTAAGTGGCAGACAATGAAGTCTGTAGAAGCAAATGGGGGCAGTTTGTTTTCAAGAAAAGAGGGTGACAGTCAGGTGGGAGTTGAGTCAGGTTTCTAAGCTGGGAAAGGAAGCACTGGACAGGTGGAGGGGCTCTGATCTCCACCTCCACCAGGATCCAGACCACAGGTCCTGGCCCGGGCCCCAAGGAGGGAGTGAAGTCAGTGGAAAGCCTTCCGAATAGGTTTCTAAACAGTGAAGATGAGCCGTCAGGAGCTGTTGCCAGAACACTTTCTCCAGAGAGTTTTTGAAAGGAGATAGACACCCTCCCGTATCAGGGATGAGTGAAGTGCAGCCCTGCCTAGAGGCAGAAGGAGAAATGAGAGAACCTCTTTAAGCCTCTTCCAGCCCTCCAGAGCCTCTCCTTGAAAAGTCTCAGGTTCATTAATGCAGAGCCAAAACTTTTGAGGTGTTGGGGGCAGGGCTGGGTTAGATTTGGGAACCTTTGCCTTCTTGGTTCCCAAATGCCCTTTGTTTTCAGGACTCAGACAGGATAAATGAGCTGACTTTTCTCTCTAAAGACAAACACACAGGTTCTGGATCACAGGTTATATGCAGTGATTAGATTTCCTGGCATGTAGGAGGAAGCTCTAGTGGGTTTTTGTTGGGCCCCCAAGCACTGTGCGAATAACTATGGCTGGGGAATGGTCTTCGGCCCTGGAACCAGATTGTCTGTGCTGCCCCGTAAGTACAGTGAGGTGAGCAGAGGAAGTGAGTCCAGTGCTCAGTGTGGGATAGGCTGGAGGGACCGAGGCCAGAGGTCCACTGTAACCTCAGGAGCTATGATGGAGAAGAAGGTGGAATGGGAGTAAGGGACAATAAGAAGAGGAAAGAAACAATATGAGAGGGAAGGTTTGCTTATTCCAGGAGGAAAAACATAGGTCTGTGTGAATATCACTGGTGGAAATGTGTTAGAGGCTCCCTTCTCAGGAGGGCTGGTGAAGGGGCGAGCTGAGCTGGCAGGTTTTTGATGCTGAGATAATCACTGTGGGGAAGGACAAGGCTACCCCCTCATCTTTGGAAAGGGGACTAGGCTGCTTGTCAAGCCAAGTAAGTGGCATATGATTTCACTTGTGTGCTGAATATGATTGTCTCCAAGAGGAAGACCTGTTCTTTTCCAGGGGATGGATCAGGACATCGAAGGGGTAGGCAGACCAAGGCCAATACCTTGTCATTTTCTTCATCCTTGAAGGAGTTCCAGGGAGTGTAGAGGGGAAAAAATGCACACGGACCCCACTGATAAGGCAGCCTTGGGATCTACCCACTCTGCCAGCCTTCCAATAAGTAAAACCACCTACTGCCAAGGTCTTCCGAAGCAGGAGACACCAACATAGCTATGCCCATTTGACATTTTAAAACTGAGGGAAGTAAAGGCCAGTGATTAATATTGTCCCAACAGGGACAGAACCTATGCATCCTAAAATGGGTTTTCCACTAGACTCACGAACCCAAAACACCAGGTTATTAAAATAAGAGGGTAAGAGTTCCAATGAGCTGTAGTTGAGTGTCAGAGGTGCTGAGAATGGACTCAGTATGAGGCAAACTCCTAGATGACTGGGTGTCTCTTACTCCTGAGTCTCAAGCCAGCACCAGGCTTCTTCATTACCCCTGCTAGAACACTCCCTGGCCCTGCTGCCCAGGATGTGCAGCCCTTAGCACACATCATCCTCATCATCCTCAGTGTCTTAGAAAAAGAGAAATTAAAAGAGAAGGTGGGAAAAATCTTATATCTCATATCATGCAGTTACTTCATTTTGTAGCAGGATTGTTTCCCCATGAGTAGTTTGTCTTCATTTAGCAGCTGTCTTCTCTGGGGAAGCCATTTTGTAGAGGTGTTTGTCACAGTGTGACAACTGATGGCTGGGGAAAATTGCATTTTGGAGCAGGGACCCAGGTTGCGGTCACCCCAGGTAAGCCAGATTCCCTGGAGCCTCACCTGCCCTTAATTATAACCCTCACATGCCAAGGATTTTTCACTAAGCCTGTGAGAAACACACTTTAAAGGAAGCCATTTTCCTGAGCTACAATATCCAGAGTCATTAGACAAAAATGAGAGATCAGTTTAGTGTTAAATAGAAACATTTTTGGATAAATAGAAATTTTCATTATTCTCTATCTGTTCCCAGCATTTGAAAACCCTTATTCTCCTTATAGCAAAAAAAAAAAAAAAAAGTTACAACAATAAGAATATAACCATGATTCATGCTGTGGTGTGGGAGCAATCAAATGTGGATTTGAGGGTGGAGGATTAGAAATGTGTTCAGGCAGATTGGATGTGTTTCTGACAGGCTATGTAACCCAGTGTGAATTATACCAGGGAGGAAAGCTTATCTTCGGACAGGGAACCAAGTTATCTGTGAAGCCCAGTAAGTATAAAATTGTATCCCTGGATTAAGCAATGTCTGTGGATTAAGAGCTGATCTAGACCCAATTATACAGTATATGAAGGATGCTTAGAGAGAGAGAATGAGTGTCAGCTAGAGGAGGCCACTAGTCTCCCTGGCTGGGATCTGGCATCTGAGTGTAAAGTGAGCCATGTGAGGATGTCTCTGGGAATGGCACCCACCACACATGTGTTGGGACTGAAGATGGATGACCAATTACATGGGGTATTGGCTAGGAACACAGCCCTAGACTTGTGTAGTAATCAGTGATGATATTTCTAATTCCTTAATAAGCCCTTAAGACACTGTTCTTTTTGGCTGAGATTAGGTCTATGGGTAGAAAGAACTTTGTAAATAGCATTGACTGAACTGAGTGTGGTTAGTATGTCAAAATCTGAAAATCGCTTTTTGTTTATTCATGACTACTGAGGGACATTTCCTGTTTCTGAGACTTTAAGCCAAAAATTCATACAACATAGCCTCACTGAGCAGAGAGTCTTAAAATAATTCTGATTGTCTGTATTCATAAGGAAACTCAGGCCCTGAGAAGGGACTAATCATCACGCCATAGCCAGACTATGGCTGAGTCTATGAATTAGACCTTGAGTCTCTGGTTTGCTGAACCTGTTTCTGGTCTGAAGTTTGAGGAGTCAGCAGGATTCATCTGACAAATTTTTGTGCACTGACTTGAATGCCAGGCTTAGTGCTCAGACCAGGGATGCAGCAGGGGACAAACCCAATGTGACAGTGTGCTCGAGGAACTTACAAAGTGGGGGTGGATCCCATTTCTTTTCCTCCCAGATATGACAGTGCACATCTTGATCCCTTGGGTATGACCCTTTTATACCATCCTCAACACCTTAGGAAATACTAAAATTGATTTTGTTAAAGTCCTTTAGCAGATAAATCAATAGATACCACTTTAGTAATAACAAAGGAAATAGCCCAAAAGTGAAGTAGAAAACTTCACTAGCAATTTCCCTGATAGTTGGATCATTATAAAATTATTTTATCAATATGAAACTAGTGATCAAATTAACTAAACAATGCCAGCTCTACACCTACTTCCTTTAGATTCTACAGGTTCAGACTAAGGAGGAATCAAGAAATTGAGCAGTTCCCTGATGGTATGCTAGAGATGCTCAGGATGGAAATATTCTCTGTTCTCAATGTTAAATGAAAAGATATGAATGCCGAACTGACATCTACAATCAAAGATCATTTAGTCCACAGAAATTTAGAAACATACTCTTGAGAGATCTCTGTAGTAGAAAAGGAAAGCAAAGATTCCCCTAAGCCTGGCCTCATTGGTCAGGTTCTTGTCATTGAGTATATCACAGTGCTTCTTCTGGTTCAGGCTGGCAAATGACCTTTGGATCTGGGACCCAACTGACTGTTATACCTGGTAGGCTATCACAATTTAATACTATTTGCAATAATGCATTAATCATATATATATGTGTGTATATATATGTATATATATGTATATATATATATGCGCACATACATCAGTGAACCCAACTTTGAGGAGGAAAGGATGCCAACAATGCATACTGGAAAGGGAAAAGTAGAAAGAGAATTATTTATCAAAGACTAAGAAGAAAAATGAGCCTTTTTGCTAAATTGGAATAGGAATACCTAAGCCATTCTAATCCAGATGACTTGCTGAACAATGAGAGCAGATTCTGTAATAGTTGCACAAGAATCATGCTGCAAGATGGTTTCACCAAGAACCATTTTAAACCAAGTTTAATTGGCCAGCTACACTTCTAGCTTATTCTAGCTTATGCACTAAGTCATTAAACACAAAGGTGCCTATGTAAGATATTTAAATGAAGCTCTCTTTCTATAGCTCTTTGGTGCCCTTCCAGTGAGGTATTCCTGTAATACATTGCTTATCACTTCTATAAGTAAGAACAAGTAAGCCCCTTGCCCTCCGAAACTGCATAAGTATTATAATTACTTGGCTTAGACTGAAGTCACCTCTATTTTATTTCTCATAACTGTGTTCATTTGTTGAGATCTGTTTGAATTCAACTGTGTGGGTGTCTAACTGTTGGCACTGAGGTTTCCTTTCTCTTGAAATTGTCAGCAAAATATTTTGCCCATAAATAATATTTCATCTAGACTTGCAAATGACAGCCAACACTGCAGCCTTTTTTTTTTTCTTTACTTCTGTTTTTCTTTCTTTCTTTTGTTCTGTAGCAAATATGCAAGCAGGGAGCAAAAACAAGCCAATATGCGGAGTGTCACTGTGGGGGTTGTGTGGGGGCTGTCACTGTGGATGTTAAAATATATTTGGTTGTATTATGGAGGGCCTCTGACAGATAGGATATAGTGATCTTATTAGATCACACCTGCAGAACCCCCGGGCTAGCTGGCATGGCTCAGGATGTCCTTAAGAGAAGTTCAGACCTAGTTGTCAAGTACAACCCAGATTCACCAGGTATAGGGTCCAGGAGAGAAGCTTCCAGATAGCCCTGGGTCTGAAAGCAGAAAAAGGATTTTCCTCATAGTCACGTCTACCTGAGAGGAATCTTCATTAATAATTCGGAAGAGAAATAGGTTGAGAGCATTTATTTGCAGTGTCCTTGTTTTAGATATGTGTATGGAGCACAGAGGACACAAGAAAGAACCCAAGCAGAAAACTGAAGAAAAGAAATCGATAAAACCACTGAAGAAAATCAGTTGCCCTTATCTTGCCATTTCTCTGATAATGAATGCATCTTCTCAGCACATTCCTTACTTTGGTTCTTGGATTTTCCAGGGAATAGCAAAGAATTAGTAAGTTTGGCTTAGTCTTCAGGTAACTTGGTTACCTCTGGATCTGGATAAGGCACCTCCCTTTTAAGAAGATCTAGGGGACTTTTTGCAATGATGTTAAACATGGTGCAAAACTATAACAGATTTTACTTCGGAGCTGGGACCAAACTCATTGTAAAACCAAGTAAGTAATAGTTAACTACCAAAAAAAGTTACCAACTCACTAGACCAAATTCCTCTCGTCAGTCTGTATTTCTTTTGAGTTCTTTTATTTTATGTTTTTGGAACCTCATTGTAATATTTTATCACTCCTTATCCCTATGTCTCTTGAATGGACATAAAATATTTAAACAAATCCTATCATTCCATGAACATTTTGAAATGGAAAACTATGCTCTTCACATATTATCCTATATGTTTTTAAATTCCCAAATATTAACTATTGCCACTTTGACTAGTTGACAAGAGAATGTTTGGATATAATTTAAAGTATCTATGAATATCCACAATTCTTGAAAGGAGATATAACATTAAAATTATTTGCATTTTTATGAGATGAAAATAGTTAAATGATAAAAAAAAAACCTCATAACTAACATTTATTGATCACTTGCTATGTGGACAACACTGTGTAAATGCCTCTCACACCTTCACTCACTTAATCCTTCTAACAATCTTCTGGGATAGATATTATGATTCCCACTTCCTGAGATGAGGAAGCTCTATGACATTAAGAACAAAGGTGCTGAAAGACTCATAGCATGTGTGAGACAGGGCTAGACCAAGAGCCCGGCCTGCCTGTCCCCCAGCCCACTCTTAACCAGGGCCTTGACAAGGTTTGTGTAGGCAGACCTACCACTGTGGCTCTAAAGACTACATGCTCAGCTTTGGAGCTGGAACCACAGTCACTGTCACGGCAAGTAAGTAAGAAGGGAAAAGACGAGTACTTTTAAGCAAATGGTGACTATCCTTATGAGCAATTTTACCCAGGAAGTACAATCAGTTTTCGGTAACTAAATTCCCAGTGCTTTTGCAGTTTGGGCTAGAACCGTAGAGTTTCTCCTCCCTTATCTCCTTCACCTCTTTGTCCTCTTCAGGGGCCCTGCTTCTCAGGGATGCCTTCACCATGGGACAGCTGCTGAGGGCACAGTCTTCACAGTCAGATAAAAACTGAAATAACTACCTGAAATTATCTCATGGCTCTATATAAGTGAGAAAAGATGCCTCTGGATTATATTAAGAAGAGAAACTCCTCAAATATTTGAGGAGCTGCTTGCAGATGAGGGAAGGACCTCATAGAGAAGGCAAAATCAAAACCAGCAGATGAAAGATGTGTCCCAGCTTCCCATAGAACCTTTTTGAATAAGTAGAACTGCTGTGCAGTGGACATGCTGCTCTGTGAAGTAGGAAACTCTTGTGGATCCTTACAGCTGCCCATCAGGATGTTGTGGAAGGGATTTCTGTGCCATTTTAGATTTTGGAGAGCATCACCTCTGGGCTCCCTTTCAACTCTTAAGTGCTAAGATCCCATGACTCAAGCCTAGAGGATGAAAAGCTCAGCTCAGACCTGCTTCTATTTTTATTATTTTGATAGCCAAAGAAATAGGTCATCAAATTATTCACAAGTTAAATCCTAGATATTTTTACACCTACAAGATAATGGGATGATTTCTCAGTGCAGCAGATGGGAAAATAAAAGGAGCTATCAAGAAGGAAACAAGGAAAAAAGGAGATAAAGGGATGCCTGGTGGGAAGACCAGAGGTTGAACAAAGGAAATGGGGTGATTTTTCAGAGAACACATCTTCCCTATCAAAGTTTTCACAAGTTCAGATTTGGAAAGGGATCCAAATAAAATGTCAATCCAAGTAAGTGAGCAGCCTTTTATACTGGGGAATAGGGTCAGGGGAGCGAAGTTCCTTCCAATTTAAACAGTCTCAAAAGGATGTGTAATTGCTTTCTGATGGGAGGCAACTCCGAAGACAGGAAGACTATTATTCCCACAAGTCATTTGTCCCTTGAGATAGAACCTCTGAGGGACTGATTGTCCTGCTTATTCTGTTGCCTGCACAAGAAAAAAACTTAAAGTCCCTTAAAGAGAATAGAGATGAATTTTCAACCCTGTACTCCAAAGCAAGGGAGAGAGAGGGAGAGGAGCATCAGGATCAGGTTCATTTAAAGGAGGCCAGCACTGTGTTGACAGAGGCTCAAGCTTGGGGAGGCTTTACTTCGGAAGGGGAACTCACCTGACTGTCATGCCTGGTGAGTGGGTCCTTTTCTACTTCCAAGGAAACATTACTGTGAAGAAATTGGAAAGGGGAGATAAATAATTTCCTTTAATCTTAAAATCAAGGGAATATGTATATTGCCTCTCCTGGAGGACCCTCCCTAGGTAGCCTGGAATGAAGAAACACAAGGAAGGCCCAGATGACCTAGAGTCCCTTTTAGGAGCTCAAGAATCTGAGGAGACTGTAGGGTACCCACCAGAGGAAAAGGAGAAGGGCAGTCCCATTTGAGGAATCCTCAAACACCTGCTCTGGTCCACACCCAACATTTAGGAAGAAAATGGCCCTGAACCCAGAGTGGGCAAGCCAAACTGGGTGATAAGTTTATGAGATGTATTTTCTTTGGGTCCTGTGATTCTTCCCTGTGAGAAGCTCCACCACACTTTTACTGAGAATGACCTCCACAGCACTCTGTCAACTTTCCCCAAGAAGCCTGCTCACACCCTTCCTTGACATCAGCCTCATCAAGGGATGGGCTGTAGACTAGCTAGGATAAATTCTTTCTGAAATGCTGACCAAAGAAAGTAAAACTGATCCACGGGGCACAGTAGGTACAGCAGCTGGGAGGGCTGGGCAGACCCAGGACTAGAGCATCTCTTCCCTCTTTGGGGCCTTCCTTGGGCACTAAATGAATGGAGAGATTCTGTTAGCAAGTGCCCGTGTACATAAGAATGTGTTCCCTCAGGTTCATTCAGATTCTGAAGATCTTTTCTTGGGTTCCTTCCTAAGTTAAAAATAGTCAAATGAGCCCCTGAATGAAATATGGTTCCAGGTTATTATTCTTACTACAGAGCCATATCCAAATGGCCAAAGCAGAGAATTAAACAAATGAATGAATGAGTTAGAACAAAATTGCCCGCTTGCATGCATTCCAGCTCTATAAAGTCGATACAGTACTAGGAGATAGGATTACCCTGAACATTGCAACCCCTCCACTTTTGCAAAGCCATGGAGAATATCCTTTGTCAGGTATCTACAGAGCATGATTTCCTTGGTCCCTGTGTTTTTGCTGGGCCTCAGATCACTGTGTGACCAGCACTGCAGGAGGCAAGCTAACTTTTGGACAAGGAACCAGGGTGCTAGTTAAGCCAAGTGAGTATTAGGACTTGAACCACAAGTCCATTTCCATCATTAAAAAAGGAGATCAGTCTTCAATCTTAATTTGAGCACGATGTGTTAGCCCAAATGCATCTACCCCAAACTTGACTAGAATTGTTTAGTCTTTTTCTTATACATAAGCATAAGCATGCATTATTGTATGTTTGTATGTATGTATGTATGAATGAATGAATGAATGAATGAATGAATGAATGAATTCAGTATGGAAAAGGATATTGCTATCATGATGCTTTCTGGGGTTAGTTTTCTTAGGAAAAAATACTTTGCTTATTTCTTCACAGCATGTATAGTATATGATTGTCCCAAGAAGCAAAGGAAGGTAGAAAGGGGTGATTCTTTTTATTCAGAGTAGTTACATGATTTGAACACAGTGGCAACGGCAGGTTTTTAAGGTTCAGTACAGTGCTGTCTGTACCAGGCTGCAGCCTCCCTAACCGTTATTCTGATTTATCTCCTATGGCTCTCATTTTTCCCAATTAATGTAACTGAAATATTGGTGACCCTTATCTCCTGGCTCACAGAAAGTGTGCAAGGATTAAAAAGACATTGTTCTAAAAAAAGAATTGAGCTGGAGGGTTTGGTAGTGTTTTTATAAGGGGGCCATATTGGCTTGGGTTCGTTTTTTTTGTTTGAGGGGTTTTTTGTCTCTTTCATCATGGAAAGGAATAGGAAAGGAGAGATACTTGAAAGATAAGGTGATGGGATTAATGCATGAATTTACATAAAATAAATTATTAAGGCATTCAACTGGGAGCCAAAAGACAGTGCAGATCCCAGTTCAGCCACCTGCTGTCTATGGTGCTGTGAACAGATGTCTGGGGTTCTCTAAGCCTCAGTTTATCTGTAACATGGAAATTATGGTTCCAGCCCCGCTTACCTCAAGGGATTCTTTTAGACTCAAATGAAATAATGTGTGTGGAAATCTCCTTGAAAAGTACAGGAACCAGATGATGGCAGAGGAAGGATCAAACTTTAAAAAAGGTGAACCTCTCTGCTTATGAGAGAAAGAATATGAGAGTTGGGGACCAAGACTTTCCCTGGAAATCTTCAAACCCTTGAGATTACTTGGGAAGGAGAAACATGAGGTCTAGAGAGTGTTATAAACGATTCCCGAGGTTTCCTAACATTTCAGAGACTAGATAAATTTAATGATTTTCTTGAGTTTGCTTAGGGTTACATTAGATCTCAACCAAGCAAAAGAGCCCTGGGAGAATTCTTACACTTGAAAATGAAGCACCCTTTGTATTTTGTGGTGACATACATCACAGTGGTACATCAAGTGCCCAGAAGCTGTTTTTTGGAAGAGGGACCATGTTAAAGGTGAATCTTAGTAAGTATTGCAATGAGTTCTGAATTTGCTTAGTTATTGAGACAAATAGCAAGCTTTTTTGGAAATCTAAGTAGACTGCCAAATGCCTTCCCTTTGTCCAGCTTTCATGGGACACCTTCTCCATCCTAAATATTAGAAGAGCTTATTCCATTAGGTAGTAGTCTGCCTTGTTTTCAAGCTTAATAGGGAAGCAGAATAGAATGTATCTCCCTAGATTAGCTGCCAACTTCATCAGAGAAGAAATCCACCCTGCGAGGTCATCTTCTCTTTCACCTGACACTCTCTACAATCTCCGTGCCCTTGATGGCCAGTGCCACACCCTTCTTATAGTTATATTTATATCTAGTATGTTAGCCAGAAGAGGCATGGCCGAAGTCTCCATCACTGATACACTGTGTGATTTGATTTTTTAGCCCTCAATTTGCTTATCTGTAAATGAGAGTGATAATTATCTAGACTTCACTGCAGACATCACCTTCTCAGAGAGGGCTTTCCTACCTAAGCCAATCTAAGGAGCCAAGGATCATAAATACCACCTGGATGCTCTCTATCCTGTTACCCAGCCTGATTTTAATTCCTACATTTTCATCATTTGACATCATATTAGCTATGTATTTGTTTATTGTTTTTCTCCTTCTAGACTATGAATGCTAAGAGGACAGGGATGGTGTCTGGGAGGCCCTCATTGTCTCCTCAGTGCCTAGTATAGTGTTCACTAAAAAGTTACTGAGCAAATAAAGGACCAACCACCAACTGCTTCTTCTTATCAAGAAATTACAGAGTTTTGGTACTGTATATCCAAACGCTGAAAACTCTCTGCCCAAGGGCAAGGACAGAATTCCCGTTTCCATTGATTATAGTTGTATGTAAGGTAGATTTGAGTGAGCAGGCACACCAAGGTATTTGCAGAGCCTCAATTCACTGTGCCTACCAGGCAGGAAGCATATGGATCTTTGGGAAGGGAACCACCTTATCAGTGAGTTCCAGTAAGTACCTGGTAACTTTTGTTTTCAGTATTGGAAATGGAATACATGGCCTCATGTATGCTGGGGAAGTGCTCTCGTGCTTAGCTCCCCAGCCCTACATAATGCCCATGTTTATTCCATCATCTTATATTGCATAGGTTACTAAATGTCTCCTTTTGCTTTAAGTCAAGTAGACCTGGGGTTTCATTAGGAAAGCCACTAAAACAAAATGGAAAAATGGATGCTGCCCCTCATCTCTAATACTCCAACCATCTCCCATATCCCGTTCTATGCTTACAAATTTTTTTAAATAAAGTGATATACCAGAGAAAGATTACCTATAAGGATATAAGTGGTTTAATAAGCACTGTAAAATGAGATTGTGTACAGGTGTTGAGTCCTAGGTAAAAATAAGAATCAGAGCTGATAGTCTTTGGCTAATAAAACAAGATTACTTGGTGAAATTTTACAAATTTTTTTAAAGGAATAAGTTTCAGAGTTGTCTAGAGAATATCACTTAGACTCTTTCTTTCTGCCACTTTTATTGTACCACAACTATTATATCCCAAAAAGAGGCTTTCATGGGCTTAATTCCATGGCTTAGCCTTTATTCCAGCAATCAAAAGGGGGAATCCCACCCAGAGCCCCCATGAGGGAGGATAGATGCATGCTAATCACATTAATCTGTTATCAGGGTAGCTCAAGTGATTTTGTCATGCAGTACAGTACTATGATTTATAGCATATTCATCTTTGGGAGTGGGACAAGATTATCACTAAAACCTAGTAAGTGTGCAGTATGTCACTAAAGCAAGAGGCTTAATGTGGCAAGTGAAGCCACTGAACTTACCATAGTATTTGTAAGGCCCACGTGTCAAGAAATTAATGGTTTGTGCAGACTTAAATGCATTCAGATGTAGAAGAAATGTTAAACTAATGGCATAGGCCATGGAAAGAGCTGGCTGTGGAGAGACAAATAGTCATGTAGGTGAATCAAAAATAATAGCCAGAAACAACCCAGAGAGTTGAGCCTAGAGAAAGAGGAAAAATTTTGAGCTGAATACTTCTTCTAAACACTTCTTCTAAACACTTCTTCCAAACCTGGGCCACAGTTTCTTTATAAAATAAAAACCTTTAATAATACCTCATAGATTATTTTAAGGATTAAGTAAGTTAATATATGTGAAAATAGTGAGTTCTTAAGGGCTATACCCATGTAAAATAGCATTTACCTATGGAGCAGAAAAAGCTGGATCACATAGCAGAACACTTTGAATGTAAAGAGATCACATAGGTTCTTAGTAAAATGGCTCCCTCCCCCCACCCCGCCAGCTCTTTGAGACAGGACCTCGCTTTGTAGTTCAGGCTGACCTTGATCTCATTACGTAGCCTAAGCTGGCCTTGAACTCATGGCAGTCCTCCTGCCTCAGCCTACAAAGTGCTGGGATCACAAGCATGCACCACCATGCCCACCCTCAATGACTATTTTCATGTGGATCTGTAGCCATAGCCATTAGAAAAAAGCACTCTATCCTCCATGGAAGAACAGTGACTTGAACGCTGCCCAAAGGATGATGGCAAAGCAAAGGAAGCCTTTTTT